TTGCAAATGTCCATGCATTGGAACATATTAGAAAATTACCTTTACCATAAACAGGCATTTTTGAGCTATGTAAGAAATGCAGGTTGCACTGCTCCTTTGCATCATTCATCCAAAGAACAGTACTTTCCATAGTGGGGAACTAAGGCTGGGATCACATGACCTCCTTCCCAGTACATGCCCTTGGGTCCTTCTACAGCCTCGTGTCCATCTGTAGAGGATGACCTTTCGCAAAGCTGCTAGGCAGCATGCTAAAGAAGGTCCTTGTGTGCTACCACTGTGTACGAGCAACTGGGCTGCTACTGCAGTTGTGGTGGCCTTTGAGGATGCAATGGCTTTTTAGAGAACAAAACAGTCATTTAATTGACTTAATATATCAGGATTACTGAAGTCAGCAATAGCACAAGCAATTAGGCAACTTTATATGTCAGTTTAGACACAACTCATGCCAGTTAGCCATAGATCCTTTATGCTAAATAATTCCTTGAATGTTGGCACAAAGTCACACCGACTTCAATGGGATTTTGTGGGTAGAATCCACACTAAACACATCCTACTATGTAGCCATATCATCTCAGGCTGTGGGCTTGTCAGACTAAAACTCATAAACTAAACAGAGTCAGAGCTGGTCAGTATATGTCTGCAGCACCTCCAAGGACAATTCAGGGTGCTACCAGAAGTAGTGTTGCTAATTCAGTACTTGGCACACTTTACCTCTCAGTCAGTCCTGAAGTGATATCCCGGTATGCAGTTGGGGCACTATTTACGCTGGAGTTACAGGGTTGTAGATAGGATAGGATATAAAATTAAAGAGCCTGTAGCACTTGTTGCTTGAGCAAAGGCAAAAGTCTCCATGTCCCTCCCCAAATGTCCTTGGTTAAGTCAAATAAATGGAATACACCCTATTTTGTGTCCTGCCCTACTGTATAATTAGGGACCACTGTAAATCAGGCTCTGGTTGGAGGTTGGGGGGGTGGGGAGAAATCAGTGTCCCTGCAGGCTCACCGGAGCCAATTTTAGGCATTTTCAGGGTGGGCTCTCCCTCTGACTGGCTGAGGGAGCCCGCCATGGGGCTGATTATCATTGAACAGCAGCACACAGGCTGTCCTTCAGCTGTTTTAAGAAACTAAAGCTCACCACTTACCAAACAGCAACTTCTAAGTAAAGCTCACCACTTAGATTTCTTAATGAAGCCATAGTGAATAACTTTATTAAAGAACAACTTTTATTGCGTCCTACCTTTTATGGACTGCTGACCCTAAGGCAAAGTCCACTGTGACAGGGCAGAGCAGGGCTCAGTAGATCCGTGCCGGGTGCCTGCCCCCACAGCAGGGCATGGGGTAAAGGGTGTCCCCATTGCAGGGGCTTCTGCCCACTCAGCATGGGCCTTCTGAGCCCTGCTCAGCTCCCGCCCAACCGCAAAATGAAGCAGGGCTCTGGAGAGCCATGCCAGGCAGGGGGAAGCCCCTGCATCAGGGGTACCCTGTGCCCCATGCCCAGCTGTGGGGGGCAGGCACCTGGTATGCCTAGGTCCACAGCCCCTAGGACATGGGGTATGTACCTGCTCCACCTTGGGCAGGGCTTTTAAACTCCCTGCCAAAGTGCAGAATTAAACAACCTGATTGGCTGAGCCCCGGTAGGGTCTTGGCCTGTACTAGGCTGCCACTGGAAACACGTAAGACTTCCACAGTGTTTCCAGGGCTTTGCTGCCTTTCTTCTCCATGCTTCAAGTCAGGATTTTTTTTTCTTTTACTTTTTTTCCCGAGCCTCCCTCTCCCCCATAATTTCAGGCCATTTGTGGCCAAATCAAAGTTGTCTGGAGCTTTGGGGAAAAATGCTAAATTCAGGCTTTCCCCTGAAGCCTGAATTACATTGGTCCCTACCTATAATGTTTGTGTAAACTTTTTAAAGGCTGTTATTTTCTAACCCCAAAATAGGCACATTCCAGTGACAAGCACTGTGATCTTCAGATAGACAATTTATAAAATTTGTTGCACGCTGGGATCTTTGTAAAAAGATTAGTTGTTATGATAAATGTAGTGGAATATCGCAGGAAACTAAGATGTGCCTGCTCCATTAAGGACAGGAGCAGCCTAGCCAGGGGGCTCTGCAGGCCAGGCAGTGCCCCACAGCTGTGGGTTACCTGAGCAACAGGCCAATGATGTAATTAGCTGGCACCTGCAGATGGTCAACTGACCAGAAGGAGGCAAAGACTTGAGCATGTATAAGCCCAAGACTGGGGTCTGGAGCCAGAGGGGCCCAGCAGACACAGGGGCCAGGGGGTCTGGCCCAAGATGGGTGCAGATACACAAAGTCCAGAGAGTCTGTCAACGGTGGGGTGCAGCAGACAGAGGCCAAAGGACCAGACTGAGTTGAGACTGAGAACAGATCAAGTTCAGCAAGTACCTTGGAGCCAGGTCCAACATAGTGGAACTAGACTAGAAGCTCTAGCCAGATTAAAGTGGCTGAGGCCAAGTAGGTCAAGACCCCAACAGAGGGAATAACATGCATGTAACACCCATGAGGCATGGGGCATGATAAAGGGAAGGGTTGGAGCCATGTGATTAGCTCATAAGGCTCAAGGTGCCCTGTGTGGCACAATGCTGGAGTGAGGTCCAGCAACCAGCAAGTTCCTGTGAGGGTCAGTGGACTCCGGCCATGAGAGAGCCTGTGCGTAGCTTCTCAATTTATTACTTTACCATCAAGACATGGCAGGCGAGGTAAGAGGACACCCTCGGGACAGAGCTGGAATGGTCGCACAGCCACCATACCTGTGGACCCCTGGGGACCCCAACCTGTGACATGGAAGATTAATAAGAACGAAATATACAGGATCCTGAGCTCAGGGACAAATTCTCAGGCTTCAAGTGGCTGGTCTTCCTATGGAGAGTGGAAGCCAGGTGCAGTGATCCTGGTTTCATTCTAGCAATCCCATCTTGCAAACACATAAAGCAACATTGACAGAATCCAGAAGCAGCTGTGATGTCTAGTGCTCCGAAGAAGAAGATAAGATTACTGCTATGTGGGATGTCTTTGAGGGAGGACAGGTGAATCCCTTGGGACTTTGAGAGCCCTGTCCCTTCATGCCAAAATAAAGCAACATCAAACAGAGTTATTCTCACATCCATTGGCCTATATTCTCATACACATTAGTCAGGATTTTCAGATCGATGTCAAAGTCCATATATGGTCATCTAAATGAGCTAATTTTCAAACAAGCTGTGCACCCACGAATCCTTGTAACAGGCCTCTCACAGCAAAGCTGAATGAAGGGAGCCTCCTGCCCTATAACAAGCTGCCCTATTCTCTCGCTCTACCATGCTTACCTCTATATATCTCTTACCCTCTATCCCTATTCTTGCAGAGGCTTTTTCACAGTAGCACCTTATAAATATGCATGTGTTTGTAAGGGAAAGAAAAAAAATTAGAAAAACCTGTGGTTACTGAAAGCCTATTGCTGTAACTCAAAAATAGGGATTCTTTCCTCTCCTAGGAAGACTTAAACTAGACCTGCAGGGTCAGCAAATGAACAAGACTTTAGGCTTCTAGGCTGAGAACTAAAATACCCTAAGTGTATTTGAGTGGATGAGTTATAATCCAAGATTTGTAATAGAAACATAGCCCAACTGTTAACTACAGCTGGTTAACGGTTGCTCTATAATGTTGCAACAGAGTTCTTCAGTGGTTATGAAAAATTTAGAATCCTAGCACCTAAAGATCTGGTGTAGCTGGAATAAAAGAGAGAGAGAGAGAGCTCAGAGAGACTGTCCGTGCTCTCTCCTTGGACTGTCTGGATTATGTCATAGCAAAATACAATCAATGTACCTTTGATCAATGGAACAGGGTGGTGACAGGTACTCTTAATTCACTGTTGTTAGTGAGTATTGACAAGCTGGTAATGATCATGCTGCAGTGTGTCATTCATGCTGCACGCATTAGCATTCTTTAAAGGTCAACAAACACATTCTTTTAAAAAGCAGAATTCCATACAACTGAGAAAATAACAGGTCTTGCAAAATTAATGCTGTATGTGTCCAGGCCAGTCAGATTATTTGGGCCAATTTTGCTGTAACTCTCCACATTACTTGCAAGTTCATCAATTTATGGGTGCTGAAACAAGAGCCACATGCATGTACGGAGGCATGTGAATGTACAAAGTGGCAGACAAACAGACCTAGCTCATGGACACAGATGGTGTTATTTTTATAGGTCCAGTTAAAATTCATGCCTTACCTCCCGAGCCTGCAAACTAATCCATGTGGGCAAACCCTTCACCCACAGAGAACCACAGTACCTTCAAGGGTGCTCCGTACTAGCCTACAGATCCAGCCACAAAGATCAGTTTGCAGGATCAGGAGCTTATTGTTTATTTTTTAAATATTAACTTTGCCCACGTAATTTACAAGTGTGCAGAGTAATTATACCTGCGTGGAGTCGATGAAGTGTGAGAGAATTTTTTTACAACTGTTTGTGTAGCCCGGGGAAAAGAGGGAAATCAGAGGAAGAAGCAAGAGTTACAGTAAACACATGGAACAACAGCAAGACGATACTTACTTTGTGAGACTCTTACTAGCTCAGTCACACTGAAAACACCTGATGTGACAAAACTGTCCTGGAAGCCCAAATGTCCTACAAAACAAAAAGAATGAAAGATTTGTGATAAGCTTTAAATGTTCAGTGACACCATTCTCATATCCTTTAGTTTCATTTAATTTCAAATGTGACACATAATTGCACACTTAGCACTAATTACTGTTTATGTAGGTGAGTAACTAGTCATATAACTATGTAGCTGTTTTGTGGTTTGTATCTGAGGTTAGGAAAACTAACATCAGAAGGGAGATTTCTAGATGTTAAAGCATATCAACAGGAAATCTGAAACAAAAGAAGACTATTTTAATAAATGGTTACCTTGGATAACCCCTAACGACTTAACAATTGAAATGAAAATACTGTACCTAGGAATCAGGCAGGACAGCTAAGTTCTATAATCGTTTTAAACATTATTCTCTAAAGAAACATCTGATCGGGATTATCTATCCCATTCATTCAAACAAAACAAGATTTAAAGATGTACTCTTCATTTTCTGACATTACACTAGGGAAATCTTAAAAAAGCAGCTGCCAAAGAAAAGCCCACCCCTAAAATGAACGCCTTTCCGACAAAAAAAAAAAGAAAAAAAATCTAGTGTTTAAAAGATGCTTTGTAAAAGACAAAATAAATCTCTACATAAGAAAAGCATTAACTTTAAGCTTTGGAATTTCTTTAAGAGACAGGGCGTATGTTTCCCTGCCTGTTTCATTTGTGCAAGGGATGCCTTTACATTTTATATCAAAATGTTATTACACTTCACATAAGAGTATTTTCCTTTTTCTCTGAAAACATGTCTATCACCAAATGTTAATTCCATTTCATGGGCATAATCAATTACAAAACAAACAGCTTTCAAACTGCAACCCAAGTGTAAGTGTACATAGCTGGATATTACAGTTCTTCCAGGATATCGCCAGACTTCAATTAGAGGGCTGTAGGTACTAGGCCAGAATGACCTCCTGCTTTTGAAACCAGGGTCAAAGGCGAAACCTCAGGATAAAGGGATTATTAAAAGAACTGTAAAGTTGTACTTATCCACAGGATAAGTGGCATACCTTTTAAGGTTGTCCTACTTAGAGTCACTGATTCTAATGCACGCACAGATATATTATGGAATGTTTTATAGGGGCACCATCTGCTCCACCATCGTTAATTGTCTGTCAGATTCAGTGTGATCTCATTATATTCGCCCTACTCTATTCTACATAGGTTCTATGCAGGGCTGATGCAGTGCTCATCACTGTATTTGAATGCCATCCAGTGCTGCATCTCTCAATGGAGAGAAATATATGCAGTAGAGTGTCTTGGTTTTGGATTTGTTTTAAATATACCTGTCACACGTTTATTTAGAGAAGGCAAGGTCGACGAGTGTGCCTTTCTCCTGGAGATAAAGACTGTGAGGGGTTTGAAGCTTCTTAGCTCCAGGAAATCAAACCAAACCTTGAGAAATTTCTATTTTCCATACAGATGAGTTTTACAATTTATTGTGGGGGCTTCGTTGTGTTTGTGCCTGGGTTAGATATGCAAACATGTATATAAACAAAATTGTTATGATCCACTGGTTTACAAGTGAACCATAAAAATGTGCTTGATGTGCACTTTAACTTAAGTCCCTCAATCTACAAATGAAATTTTATTATATTTGGGGGTGAGGTAAAATCGTCTTTGAATATTTCAAATGAAAAAAATATGGAAGTATAATTTAAGGCATTTTTTTTTTTTTTTGCGTTTTCTCAACTAAAATCTCACTGTCAAAAAATTGCCACTGATAGGCCTCCGATTCATTTTCCATTTTTTAATGATAACGATGATGACCACATCCTCTTGCTTTTTAAAAATGGGTTATTAGCCACATGCATTACATTTGTTCACTAACAAGTTCCCAAGTGTTTTTAATACGAGAATGTACATACGTTACAGCAGACTTGCCTATTGGATTAAATGATCTGTGAATTAAAGATAATTCTCTGAGATCTGCGCTGGGACCACTCATGTGCCTAAAATTAAGCATATGCTTAAGTGTTTTGCTGGAGCAAAGCCAGAATGCTTAGTACTTTTTAGCTTCAAGCATTCTATTCTATTCTATTCTATTCTATTCTAGTACTTTTTCTGCACTGACCACCACAACATCTGAGCATCTTCGACTGTAGGTTTAGCAATATGCTAACCTCTATTACATATTGGTTGTGTTTATGGTGTTTGGGGGTACCCATGTTTCTGGGTGGGCTATAAGTAGGAGTTTGTATTGAAATAAACTGCAAGAAAATTTCAGTTTAGGTAAAAAAAAAAATGTACGCTGATTCTCAAATAATATGTTTACACTCCAAAATAAAGGTGTGACCATTGCAGAGACAGGAATGCCTGTTCTAGGTTAATTTATCTAGGACTCACAATAATAGCAGCAAAGATGCAGCAGCATGGACTTTAGCATATGACAGTGACCAGAGGATATATCCCATTATCCCTGAGAGTTTTTACCAGCTCCATTGAGCAAGCGCTTGCTATGATCATTTGCTAAATTTAATTTTGCTGCTGGACATAACCAAAGTGCTGTCATTAAACTATAATTCACAGACTAGATTTTAATTAGAGAAAATATACATTTCTTGAACAGAAGCTGAATTAAACAAATGTACAATGTATTACAGGATTCATAAATGGCAAGGAAATTAGACCTAATCCAACCAATAGTCATCTCTATTGTATCTTTATGCACATGAACTGTTGTTCTCTTAACAAGGATCCCAGTCCTGAAATGGGATCTATAGACATGTGGAAATGGAGCCTCAGTGTGTTCAATAAAGCTTCATGCAGGTGAAAGTGTCCATCCATGTGGTTCAGACAGTAAAATCTGGGCTCAGATTTCTAGCTTTTGCTGAACCTGTTTTTGAAATAGAGATAAATAGTGCAACAAGGAAAAGGCAAAAAAGAAGCAAAACCACCAATCAGCTAAAAGAGGAATTGCCAGAAAATAGCATAATTAACAGCAGAAGCTATAAAAGTTAATTTTTTTGTGCCTGCTAACAAAAGCCAAAATAGAAAAAAAAATGTCTTTCACAGGAACTGTTTCAATCTGGCTGTTCCACTTAACAGTGAATGAAGAGGGAAAAAAAGGTAAAGTTAAGCAATTACAAATGCAGATGTTAGCATTAAAAGATACTTAATTGAAAGATGATTAAACATCTTGAAAGCTTGCAAGATTTACTTTTCATGAAGCACTTTATTGAAATATGTGCAAAATGATACTTTTGTTAAATACCCCATAGATAGGAAGTTGAAATGACTGTATATGGTCTAGCTATCTCTGTGGTTTTGTACCACCATCACATTCTGTTAGAAAAGCAGGTGTTTGGATTGAGGATTTGAGGATCCTTATTAACTTTTTACAAAACTAATAGCACTCAGTCACTGAAGTCCTATGCCTAGCCTTACATGGACGATTGTACAAAGCAACTGAGCATGTGCTTAAGTTTAAGCACATACGTAAGTCATCAAATTAATTTCTGACCAAAATCAACATGCATCTTTCCACAGGATCAGGGCACTAAAAGAACAAGCTCAGGCTTTCTGTAGCTCTCATAAGAAATGTCTATGGAGACAATATCTTATTTTCTGGAGTTAACAGGAAAATCGGAAATGTAAGTTGGAAAAGTTAAGTAATAATACTTATTGGTGAGTAATATACGGACACCAATCTCACTCTTACACATATAATATCACATAATAATATAAATGACACAGTAAAACATCTCTGCATACAGTGGCAGCTGTAATTCTGTAAAAAAATTAACATGCAATTTGCATTTCTTTCATTTTGCATCCAATATCACCCCAATGATAGAGCAGAAAAAAAGTCTAAGAATATGGACCCTGACTCTGGTCTCATACCAGTTTTATTTAAGTCTTTTCTCACTGTCCTTAATAAAGTTTTTCCTGATATACATTAATGAAAATGAGACTGAAAATAGGCCTTAAAGTCTCATTCCATTTGTTTTGCAGCATTCATATTTGACTGAGTAAATGTATACAAAGGCAACTAAACTGCCTCCTAACATCTAGCTTACATGGAGAGTCATGTCTTTATTCCTAATTAGTGTCCAAGAAGGTAATTTCAGGTACAGGGAGTCTACAGATCAAGCCCTTGTACTTTTGTTTGACTGATGCAATTCATTTTAAATGGAAATTCTGTGTATAATCAAAATTTAAGTAATCAGATTATTGTTCCTTAATCACATATCAGAGATGCTTCCATTATAATAAAATATAAGGTGTTATAATTGTTATGTTTTGTTTATATATTATTTTTATTATAAAATAGATTTAGAGTCCTTTAAGTGTATGAACTTCTTTATAAACAGATAAAGTAGACTCCCTGTAATTTGAACAAAATATGAAAGAAAATAGTTAATCCTTTGAAGATGAAAAAAGTCCAAATCCTGCTTTTTCACTTGTACTACACAGTCTGACTGACAGTACATTAAGCTTTAAGGAACAGCTTTTTGGGAGGCTTTGATTCACTTTCAGCATTTTGAAATTAAAAGACAGGTTCCAATACTAGCACTGAAACCATTTCTAAAGCCCTTCTCATGTCAAGCAACTCAGTGTACAGAGCCATCTTAAAAGCTTAAAATAGTAATAATCAATTAGGGTCTCAAGCCTATTATCTTAACCAAATGCCTGATTAAAAAGAAAAGCTCTCTCCATACAAAGTACAACTTGGTTTTATCCTCTACCTAGATAATCCTCTGTTCCACAAACAATGTTGAGCCACTAACCAATATTGATTAGAAAATACATGTCTGTATCACCCATCATGTATACACTCTGACAGACGGGAAGTGACCAAGAACTCGCCAATCTCCTGAAATGCCCAGATAATGGACTTGTATCTACCTGTGTTGTGGTAGGTTTATGGGGAGGGGCAGAACTTTGTCTTAATCCCAGTCACATCCTATTCCCAAACTAGTGGAAAGAAAGGGATGGATGTAATATTTATGCATCACAATAAAAGGCGTTACGCTCTTTTTGGTTAGAA